TAAGAATTTAGGTGATAGTTTCATCTTCTTACAGTGGTTTTACAATTTTTTTTAATATTTAAAAAGTTCTGTTCATAGATTTAGGAAGAACAGATATCACATTGTGCATTTTAACCCGATCAAACAATCGGAGGTTGACTACGTACTGTAAAAACCAACTGAGATAGAGAAGGCGACATTGCCACATATCAAATTTGCGCCTATCTACTTAGTTTGATTTGCAGAAAAGGTGACTTTAAAACCTTCACCAAATATCAATAAACCTCAATTTCTTAATTAAATTAATAGTTTATTTTTAAAGAAGCATGCGTAATAATATGTTATTAACCAGAGGATATATGCGTTACTATTAAAGGACATGTTTACTGTTTAATGTGCTGAAACGTCTAGAACTATTGGCAACGTCGCTGCTAGTCTTTCAGAATGAAATGAGCCGTCCGTCCCACCACCCCTCGCGACGGCCCTTGGTCCGTTATAGCGTACTACGTTTAGCTTACGGTGTGTTTGAAGTCGGAATCAAGTCCGAATTGATGTTTTCAGTGTTTTTCAGTAGTTTTTGTTTTGTTTAACGTACTTTTGAATCTGCGAATTTTCAATATGGTACGACAGTGTCAAGTGTGTGGAAAAATAAGCTCAAATTACCCGAATTTGTCTTTTGACAGGTAGATATTGTTTTAACATTTTATATTTTCGCCGTAATTGTACATAGGCGTCCCACAAGGGAGCCTCTCACAATTAAAATAATTTCTAATTATATTTGTTGAATTTTGATCTATTAAAACAAGAACGTAGTAGCCGGTGAGTAAATTATAATTCGTCTCTATTACTACCTAACTGTTGTAGATCATAACAAATTTGAATATAAACGTGGAAGTGACAGAAAGTGAAATTTTTTTTCTGAAAATTGAAAGTGACTGAAAGTTTATATAGAATTAACTGAAAGTTTAAATTACTACGTTGGAGCGATTTTCGAAAACTACCTACTAACGTTTCAACATAAGTATATGTGGGATATTAATTATATTATTATATTAGACCTTATAACAAAACTCATCTGACGAAAAAGTGTTAATGTAGTATATTAATATGGAGTAAAAATTTTACTAATTACTTTACTTTTACTTTACTAATTAAATTCGTTCCAAAAAACGATACGCCACTGGCCATGAGAACAATCCAAATGTGCCTAGTTGCCGGGGTCGGAAATTTTAGACTTCTCTGTCTCTTCTGTCCTTGTCTGACACATTGGAATGTTTGATACACTACTAACGAGTATTTATGAATGAGATGTTCGGTCTATATTTATAATGTCTTTGGTTCTGTTACATACTAAAAATATTTCGTTCGGTTCCTTTTTTTATAATACGCTTAAGTTTTTTTATATGTTAATAAAGTAATAAAAATGTTGCTTGTTACTGTATAGCATGTCAAATTTTACAATAAAATACTTTAAATTACAGAATATTTAAAAAAATAAATGCGGTACGGAATACCGCTACGTGCCCGGTCCTGTGATTCTAAAATATTTGCCCTTATTTCAGAGTCACCCAGTATAATGATATTGAAGTAAGTGACATACACAATTTTTTGTTTGAGTGCATTTTCACGTCATGTTTCTCTCATTTGCTTTTTTTTTGTTCTATCTTTACTTTTTTCGCAACTCTATTCCACACGTCCATTGTCGGCTGTGCCGTACTGCGGAATTACCATATTTCTGTTTTGCAGAGAGTATATCTCCAGGCGCCGGGATTTCAGCAGGACCACTGACTGATATTAAATTTAATAAGGCCAGAAATTCGCCGGGGAGCTGCACCAAATTTCTCTTCTTTTTTTTCGCCCTCACCTACATTCCTCGTCGTCGAGGTTATTTTGAATGAAATAAATATAGAGCGTTTGCGCAACGGCGGGTAGAGGAGAAAATCTTTATTGGGGCCAATTTTTTAACCGCAAAAACCCACAAAAAGAAAAATTATGATAATTTGCCGAAATTACAATTTCTATAACTTTTTTCTTCGCCTTTTATTGCCAATAAAAACGTAAGTGGAAAAGAAAACGTTTTCTTGTGCCTTTCTTCGATCACCCATAAATAGAATGGGAATAATTTTCAGAATCAATGATAAATCGGTGTTTTTTTTCTTTTTAAATTAGAGAATAGGCAGAACTAAGAGAATAAAATATGTGACACATATTTATTATCGTGTCATGTTTCATTTACTTGCGCCTTTTGCAAAAAATACAGGCCAAATACTGTAATTTATTAAACAATACAAGACACCAAAATTAACTTTGTGAATTGACAACAAATTAGCAATTCATACACTCACCGGCACGAAAAACGGGCACCTTAAAATTTTCATGTATTTTAAAGTTTTATATATTGTGTTTTAGTGGACATTTTTTGATGAGTTTTGAAGCAATTTGTAGCTAAATTTGACTTTTTAATTTCTTCTAAATTAAAAATAAAAGTTGTCATCTGTCAATTATACGAGGAAAAACAAAAAGTTGATATTTTGGTGAAAATTTGAAACATCCTGTGGAGTACGATAACAAAGCAAAAAATTTAAGAATATGGTTTTCATCTAAGTGTATCTTTTCTCGATAGTTTATTATTTGATTCATCTTAATAGCTTTATTTTTTTTGGAAATATTGGCTTTTGAAGAAGACACAAATATCTTTTCGATTTTTTTTTATATTAGAGTCATATATGATCAGAGCTGAACTTAAAATTTGTCTGATCTCTGACCGACAAAACTCCTTAATATAATTTAAGGGGTAAAAACTGGTAATATGTCGGGTATATTCTAAAAATAATTATTCCTTTGTGAGTGACAACAAAGTAATTACTTAATTTTGCAATATTCATTAATGTTGTAATTAGCCCTAATTTCGTATACAAGAGAATTTGATAAAACAATATAAATGTATATTCATTGATCAACGTCAGTCGTTTCTCATTTAAGTCAACTTAATATTCCATTTAAATTAAATCTACAAAATTTATTCAAAATATTAGATTAAGGGAAAATCGTAAAATCTTAAGCTATAACATTTATAAAATAGATTTAAAATACGATAAATGATTAAAGTTCATTGAAATTGTTTTTAATATCATTAATCTTCTGCACATTGGCTAATGATACGTTTGTTTGTAGTTTTCAATATTATCTTATTTTGATAGGGAGATCTAAATAGCGTACTTTAAGTAATTTAGTGTATTTATTAACCAATTGTTTTGAATTTTAAGTTATGTTGATACTACTTGGAAGTATAATTGTTATTATTAAAAATTACTTTTTAGAGTAATCCCATACTACTACACTGAAAAAAAGGATCTCTCAGTCGAAATGAATATGACTTTGACCCAAAAGATTGGCGCTTTTCAATAGGGCCAAGAACGACGTTTCTTTGCCCAAAGCATTAACGATCTATATAATCTTTTCTTAAGCTTTAAAAAATTACTTTAGAGAATAGAATAATCTATCTGTCCAAAGCATTTCACTCTTGACCCAAAATGAATATGTAAAGAAGTTCTTGCTACAAGAACAATAGTCTCTTTGATTCATGCAAAAATTCTTGATTGAAAAGGGACATTTCTTGATTAAAGAGACACTTTTCTTAAACCAATAGCGAATAATATTGACTCAACTAAAATTTATTTTGATCTAAGAGAAATCTATACATCATATACAGGCATATTACGAGGTATATTATTTTCTGATAAATTTAGGTTTTCCTGTTCTTTACTTACTACAGAGTAGTAAGTAAAGTGATATTATTTTTCTCGATAGTAGTTATTTCTGCTTCTTCACTCCTTGGTATTTTTTGGGGTGGTTCATCACTCTACAAACTACAAAAAAATGTTACATCAGGATTAATCAAAGTAAAGCAAATAAATTATTAAAAATATAAGCTTTGGTCACATTTTGAATTTTTTAATACGACGACTTGAAATTCTAAAATTTTTGTAATTATTTGCATAAAAAAATTGATACCTATATTCTTATTCTATCTATAGTCACGCATGCATTATCTAAACAGGTACATTATGTAAATATCTCTTACCTTCAAATAATATAGCAAATAAATGCTCCAATTTCCATTTTTTGAGAAACTCGAGAAAATCCATATATCCCAAAATTTCTCCATAAAAAATGACCAATGCATGTTAATAACGATCACTAATTTGTTATACGATATGCGTTTAAAAAGCAAATTATGCTAAATTCCAAGTGGAAAATTCCAAGCAACAAAACGCGTGCGTACTATGATGTGCGACCTATGAAATGCGACGTACGACTGATCGGACTACCGACTTACAATCAGTCGGCAGTCCGTCAAAGTAACTTGCACTTGGTTGAATGAAAATAGATCCAAGAGAAATTTTCGAATTTTTCAAGAGAACCAGTTTTCTTGAGTTAAGAGAGTTTTTCTTCAGGCAAAATATTTTCTTTTACGCTAAAATAAATTCTCTTGCCACTAAATTTTGTTTTTCAAGAGCGATGGCGACTTTAGTTCAAGTCTATCTTTTTTATCAGTGTAATACTAATTAATAATTATTGTAACAATATTTTGATAAATGTAAAACATTTTCAAATATTTAAACACACATAATTTCTGTCAGCTGTATTTTATCAAGTAAATCGTTTATAACTAGTGCATCATGTTCAAAAACATTCAAATAAATATATTACTGTAAATGTAACTTCTAATCCTTCTATGAAAGAGAAAACCACATAAATATTTTCTTTCTTTTGTGTTCGTTTGAATATACACAACTACCCAACGTATGTTTTAGAGAGAGCTATATGGAACGCTTAGTCTCCAAGTTATTAGAGTTTTTGAAAAGGATACGACTGGAGAATTTAATCTAGAGAGAAGTGGTTCACAAGAGATCTGAAAAGGTCGTAGTGGATTAAGCCAATAGCCACGTGATAGAATATATTTATCTATCTACCGTATGTGTTTATTATGTTTATTAATTAATTCTAATTTGTTTCAGATCCCTTAAGCAAGGACTGTAATGTTGGTGAGTAGAAGTTTTTTCACAGTATTTATAATAAGCTAATTCTATAACTTATACGTTAATAGTTTTGACTCAATTTTATTATCGCTATATTGGTCACATCAGCAACGTTGTCGTTTATTATTTGACACTTATCATAGTGTCAGTCATTATTTTGTATAATATCGTGTAGTTGTTGAATCTTTGTGAGCAATTCTCGTTTTTTGCCTATTTTCATAGTATTTTCTTAAAAATTGTACGTTTAAGCACAAACAGTTCTTTTACGAACTAAATTTTCGAGTTTTTGTATTGCATTTTATGAAATTGTATGTTGAAAATATGCCGGAGCATTTTCTGAATCACAGCCGAACCAAAGAGCTTGTAGCTTCCCTGATAAACTATTTTGAACGAAAACGTCACAATAAAGGTGTTTTATTGCCCTTGATGGCAGTCAGAGTTACGTTTGATTTGTAAGCTCATTATACCACTTTCAAAGTTATTTCTACGTTAATTTTCAGTAAACTCTGTGATTATTAGTTTGTGCATTCATGGCACCCCCTTACTTGTTATTACCACTTTTGGTGTTGTAAGTTGTACATCAATAAATAAATAAATAAGTAACCCATAATTCAATTAATTAATATATTGTTTTCCAATTTTACATTAATATGCATCTCATAAATCCATCACAATCTGGCAGCGCTGTCGCCATCGCTTGTCACTCAAAGTTGATCACGTGCATCGAAAATTGTTTTGCGATTACTTTATTTAAAATTTTAACGTTAAATAAATTACTATAGTATTTTTATAGAACGTGCAATAACAAAAAACTTTTCGTCACTTATAACGAAAAATTTTATTTCCTATAAAAATTTTAATTTCAAATGCCGTTATTACAAAAATAAAAAAATCAACTTTTTTTATGAATTCATTGTGCATTCAGTTAAAAGGAAACACAAAAAGAGCAAAATGTGTGTTTAAAAAAACATGACTCATACACTGCTCTTTGTCCGCTATAGTCAAATACGTGCAGCTCTTCAGCGGTCCTCGAAAATTTTAGCGCAGGTTAACAACTCTATTATTTTTCGCGTATAATATCCAATCCCGCTCCAACGGTCGGGTCAATCCCACTCTCGAACATAATGTAGGTGTAACGATGTAAAAGGGCTCATTCGGTCAAATATCGATTTATATAAACAGTACAGCTCTTCATTTAACACATTTTCCCTATAAATTATATTGGAAATCTTTCGGTTAGGCCGGGAAATTTTGCCCAACCAGTGGCGATACGGAGGGGCCGAGAAAACATCCTATTTTACATTATCGATCTGTCGAACTACTTGCAAAGTTTTAACCCGGGGGCGCTTTAAATTGTAAGGGTTGTGTAAATTTTATTATTACCTCACTAAAGTATAAAATCTTACTGAACTCACCAAGCTTACAAAAAGAATAAATTAAACTGAAAGTTGCCTACAAGGTAAAACAAAGAAAGAGTTAAAACACGTATACTTTTACAAGAAATGTCACGATTATTATCGATGTCGTTTAAAATTTATGTTAGTGTTTGAAAGAATGAAAAATTTTCAACAATAATTCAGATACCTATAAAGCCCTTTATTCTTCGTAGAATTTCGTGGGTCTGATTATCCCTTCTAATACCGATCTCATGAATATTTAGGGGCCATAAGTGGGCGTGCTATGTGCGCAAACTAGTAACCTAACTAGTGCCCGATTCCGAAAATTGGAACTACGAAAAACAATAAAGAAAAAACAAAGATTATAATCTGTATAATATGTGATAATGGGCTTACAATATTCTTCTATATATTTTTAAATATACTATTTTATAATTTTTAATTTCATTTAAGGTATTACGATAAACACTTTCAGCAATAATAATTTTCAATTCTTGAATCAACATATTAATGTATAGTAAAATACATTACTAATTTATTTTGAAATTAATATCAAATAAATTGAATTTTTCCGCATTATTCATGTGTTATCTCATATCTCATTGTTTTATTGACAAACAATTTGAAATATTTAAAATAAGCCTACGTTAATCAGGAAAGCATGGTGTATCATGTAATCGTAAGTTATGAGTAAACTTTTAAAATAAATTTGTTTAACTAATATCAATATCTAAGGTGTTATATTTTTATTAAAATATAATCAAGTAATCTGGTACTTCCTTTTCTATTATGGTACTAAAAAAACTTTCTATTATGATAAAAAATAAAAAAATAGTATTTGATCAACGTCAGTATATTTAAAAAAATAATTCAATATAAAATCGAATGGCACGTCACTGATTCGCCCCTGTTAAACGTTAAGTGGACATTTGAAACTGGAGCTTCTCAAATTGAAATTGTTTAGTTTACAACTCGGCCGGAATTTATAGTACGCTCTCCATATTATTCGGTATTCGTAACGGTACGGGTCGCATCTATTCGGCATTTTCCGGAAATTTGCTTGCTCAGTATTGTACGTTTTATAGTTTCCAGTTAAAAGGTATGTTAATAACTGGAGTTTATCGGCGCGTTTCGCAGTTTTGTTTTATCTTTATTTTCCAGAATTGATGGTTTCGCTGGAACAATACGAAACCTCCATAGTACTTTGGCGTTATTAATACAGGTATTTCGACACAAGGTCGAAAGTAATTTATTCCAGTTGTGGAAGTACATATAGCTAACGTCCGAATTTATAGTTTGTTGGTGTGAAATGTACTATTTTCATGTGTTGGAATATTACGTTCTATATTCAACATTGTTGTTTATATACAGGGTTACTTATAAACTCGTACGTATTAGATATGCATAAACGTTTTTATAAATAATAATAATTAGTAAGCTTTCTAGTAATATATGGGAAATGGCTTGTCGAATATACAGGGTGGCCCAACGAAAACGTTCCGCAAGGCATAACGGCTAGGGCATTTTTTTCGTAAAAAAATCCAAAAACACGTCAATTTTGTGTGTGAGGGGGACAAATTTTGCCCTAAAAATTATTGCAAAATCTTTAACTCTCTAAGCGGGGGTGTCATCCCCCAACTTTTTTCAAAGGGGAAGGGGGGTCAAGTGACACCGCAATCAAAAGAGCTTTCTATTCTCTATATTTCCCCGCTTCGTTTTTGAAAATCGGTCGAGTCATTGAGAAAATATGAAGGATTGAAATTTGAAAAGTTTATTTAAATATTTATCAGAGTAAATGATAAATTCCATCGACCAATTTTCTGTTTTTTCTTATTATTTCTAGATGTTTACGCATTTTTTCACTTGCCACAAGGTTGACCGTTCAACCTTGTGGCAAGTGAAAAAATGCGTAAACATCTAGAAATAATAAGAAAAAACCGCAAATTGGTAAAAGGATAGTACCGACAGTGTGCCGATTAACTACACCGTTCAAAAAGAAAGTACACTCATCCGAAAAACACACATTAAATAGAAAATTATTATCATTCGCCACTCGTTCACTCATAGTTTCACAAAATTGCAAGCGACGATCAAATTCGTCTTCGTTGAGTTCTTGTACCAACTGAATTTTGTACGGGTGGAACTAGTTTTTTTAATATCCTTTGGACAATTGTACGATTCACGCCGGTCTCATTGGCTAATTTTCTTGTACTCAGCGTACTATCCATGGCAACTTGGCCCAATACGAATACCTCCATAGCTTCATTTACTACAGGATTTTCCCTCTGCCTCTTTTTATTCATAACGGAACCAGTTTCGCGAAATTTTGCTACTAACTCGCGAACAATTTTGCCATAAAGGTGTGTGTCAGGATAGCGTTCATTGAATATGTGCCCAACCCGATACATTCATTATTTTTAAAATAAAGTTCGATTATTTCCATTTTTTTTGCAAGTGAGTACACCATAATTGTTAAAAAGTTTAACGATATTGAGAAGAACTTCAACGCACCACTCACAGAACAGCTATCTAGCAACTACCGCAACTGACCGTTCAACCTTGTGGCAAGTGAAAAAATGCGCAAACATCTAGAAATAATAAGAAAAAACCGCAAATTGGTAAAAGGATAGTACCGACAGTGTGCCGATTAACTACACCGTTCATAAAGAAAGTACACTCATCCGAAAAACACACATTAAATAGGAAATTATTATCATTCGCCACTCGTTCACTCATAGTTTCACAAAATTGCAAGCGACGATCAAAATCGTCTTCGTTGAGTTCTTGTACCAACTGAATTTTGTACGGGTGGAACTTGTGTTTTTTTAATATCCTTTGGACAATTGTACGATTCACGCCGGTCTCATTGGCTAATTTTCTTGTACTCAGCGTACTATCCATGGCAACTTGGCCCAATACGAATACCCCCATAGCTTCATTTACTACAGGATTTTCCCTCTGCCTCTTTTTATTCATTACGGAATCAGTTTCGCGAAATTTTGCTACTAACTCGCGAACAATTTTGCCATAAAGGTGTTTGTCAGGATAGCGTTCATTGAATATGTGCCTAACCCGATACATTCATTATTTTTAAAATAAAGTTCGATTATTTCCACTTTTTCTGCAAATGAGTACACCATAATTGTTAAAAAGTTTAACGATATTGAGAAGAACTTCAACGCACCACTCACAGAACAGCTATCTAGCAACTACCGCAACTGACCATTCAACTTTGTGGCAAGTGAAAAAATGCGCAAAGATCTAGAAATAATGAGAAAAAATAGCAAATTAGTCGAAGGAATTTATCCTTATCATTTACTCTGATAAATATTTAAATAAACTTTTCAAATTTCAATCCTTCATATTTTCTCAATGACTCGACCGATTTTCAAAAACGAAGCGGGGAAATATAGAGAATAGAAAGCTCTTTTCATTGCGGCGACACTTAACCTCCCTTCCCATTTGAAAAAAGTTGGGCGATGACACCCCCGCTTAGAGGGTTGTAGATTTTTGGGGCAAAAGTTGTCCCCCTCACAAACAAAATTGACGTGTTTTCTAATTTTCTGCAAAAAAAATACTCTGGCCGTTGTGCCTTGCGGAACGTTTTCG